AAAAAAAAAAAAACCCTGATTTCACTGCTCTTATTTACAGCGTATATTTTCAGAATCAAATTAGAAATTGTTTTAATAAATATTTAAGTTTCCAATGGCCACAAGCCTAGCCGGCCCGTCGGTCTGGCCCGCATGTCGCATGTTCGTTGAACTGGAACCTTGGCCATGCAAATCGGTTCCGATTCTTAGTTTTTTTTTCTCAGTCCCGACAGTTGGGACCGGGCCACTAGCCACACTTGTTTTTTCTTTTTACGGGCCGAATCGTCTGAAAAAAAACAAGTCGGTGACTCGACGGTTCAAGGCCTACCCATATAAATTCCTGGGCCGGTTAGAAGCCATCAATCCGAGGCCCGCCAACCCGGCGAGCCGGGCGGGCCCCGTGAAATGGCCACGTTCCCCAACAAAACAATCATATAGTAATGTTTTTACAAAGTGATGTTTATCTACAGCCACAATTACTCCCACTCCTGTTTACAATTACGTGGCTCATACTCAACCACAATCTCAAAGATTTGTTTTTTTCCTTAACAAAAATCGGCTAAAGAAACTAAAGAAAGAAACATAAAGGTTTATTTTATTCATTAATGATCTTGAAAAAAAAAATAATAATAAACCGTTCAGTACTTGTCTTTGGGCCCACGAGTATCTTCAATTTCCGATGGCTCAGTTCAAATCCTCCCTATATATAATTCCAGAATGCGCTGAGCCTACGTGGCTGCATTGGTGCTTCGGGATCCTATTTGGCGAAGAATTATGCTTCGTAATTAGGTTTGGATAAATAATATTAATATATTAATAATTAATAATCTAAGTTCGAGTATTCCATAAATATTATTTAGCTAATTTAGATATTTTAATATCACTTTTACTAATATAACCCTTCAATTATTTGTAATTTTACATAGTGAGGCACTAAGTGAGTAATATATCCCTGAATTTTGATTCGTTTCCTTCAATAAGATATTAGATTATAAATGTATTTTAAAAGTTGATAACTTTTGTATTTCTTATCGGTTTTACATATATAATATATCAAATTAATCATCTTTTGATGATCTTCGATTTGACATCCATATTGTATATATGAAATAAATAAATTATATTTATCTTTATAATAATAAAAAATAATAATATTTATTGAAATTCATTAGAAAAATAAAATTATTTTTCAATTGATATATTTATATGTAATGTAGTTATATATTGTAAGTAAAAAAAATAGTATAATATAACACAAGTAAATTGCACAAATAAAAAGTGTCATAATAAATATATAATAATATATATTCTTATAAAAGGTATTTAAATTTTTAAACTACTTTTTTTCATTAATTTTAGATTTTAAGAAAAAACTTAACAAGCACCCGTGTAATACACGGGTGTTGTACTATTATATAAATAAATTGCAGAATAATGGGCTTTTTACAACTTTAACAAGCGACGGATTAATTTAATATTGCTAATTGATGACTCAAAGCTATCTTTAATGATTGTTTAACGTTCAAACCGTTTCTCTTTTTGTTCCCAAACAGTTAGATTAATCGATTAATTCATCACGTTTGTTCGGTGCGAAGTTAAGTGAATTATAGTTTAATAATACATCAAAAGAGAAAAGAAAATACAAATGCATGATTTCACTAAAAACGGATGATTTTTTTTTTTTTTGTTTTTTTGTATTATATTTTGGTCATTTATAAACAAATCTAAAATTTTTGAAGGTTTTTGATGTGGGCGTAAGAAGCGGTTCATAACAGACCGGGTACCACCAAGAAGGGTACCACCAAGAGGGTACCACCAAGGGTACAACCAAGGGTACCACCAAGAGGGTAACATCAAGAGGGTACCACCAAGGGTGCCACAGGGTACCACCAAGGGTACCACAGAGGGGACCACTTCGGCACTTAAGCAGTTGGGCCAGAGGGCTCCGCGGAAGAGAGAGCCTGAAAGTGGCTTCGGGGCCAAGTCACAAAGAGGTTGATATCAATGATGACTCTAAAGACTGGACATATCTAATCTGATTTAGAGATAAACATGAGAAAGACTTCTTGTCTCATAGGGAGTCTTCAACTTCTCCTATATAAGGAGCAGATTCATTCATTTTACACAACACACATTTACAAAATTTTCTCGTTACTCTGTCATTTTCTCTTTAGACCACCACTGACTTGAGTGTCCAAGTGTTCGCGTCGGGACCACCCCGGCGTGTTTTGCAGGTACCGACGATCAAGAAAACGCAACCCAGTTCGGAGAGGAGCGGTTCAACGGTTCAGGTATTTATGGTATAACAAACTGGCGCCGTATGTGGGGAACTCAGTCTTCTACCGGAGTATCAAAGTCTGTTTTTTCTCACTGAACAAGAAGAACGATAGGAGTCATGGCAGGAGATAATTCAAAGAAGAACCTGACAAAAGAGATGGATGCGGAATGGGCTCGGAGGGCCTTCGGGACAGGCCCCCAACAGGATGGTCGCCATTGCCTGTCACCCCTAAAGAGACGTTGTTGCCCACTAACGTGACCCCGACACCACCACCAGAAGCTCAGGGGCACGCGGCGAACCCAGGAGGATCGGGTGGTTTGACAGGCAAAGGTAAGAGGTTGGCACCACAGTCGATGGGGGAGTGAATCAAGGTGTTTTGGGAGTCGGGAGTGTTGGTGGTCAGAATGGCGCCCTTGGTAGCGGGCAGGTGGTTGTGGCAGGAGGTCAAAACCCTCCGGGGGACAATGTTTCTTCAGCGCCACAGGGGGACCCGGTTATTCAGATGACCAGGTCGGAGTTGGATAGGATCATTGCTGAGGCGATAGGCCGAGCTTAAGAGGTGGATAGGGGATCTCATAACGAGTCATTTCGACAACTTCCGTCGCGGCAGCCACCCACACCTCAACAACAGGTCCCCTCGCATCAACAGCAACATCAACGTTTAGAGAGGGGCAATGATAATGATGCTAGGTCGGTGACCTTCCATCCTGCCGCAACAGCGCATCTGGATGGGTTAACCTTGGAGAAGTTGGCGGCTCAAATGAGGGAACTCCAAGTTTGGGTCCAGGGTAAGAGACCTATAGTTTCACGAGGACACCCTTTCGCGGAGGATGTCTTAGGAGGGATTTGCCTAGCAACTTCAGGGATTTGAGTTTGTCCTACGATGGATCGGCAGACCCAGCTAGGCATCTGAGGTCGTTTGACAACATAGTCGTGCTGCACAGGTATAGTGATGTTGTGAGTTGTCGATCCTTCCTGACGACGTTGAAGGGGTCGGCGCAGGATTGGTTCCACCAGCTGCCAGATCTATCGATAGCTTTGAGAAGTTTAGCTTGTTGTTTCTAAATCAATTCGCGAGCACCAGGAAGTATGATAAGATGTAGCTCTCGTTGATTAATATGCAGCAGAAAGAGTGGGAAACATTGCGGCAGTATGTAGCACGGTATACTAAGGAGTGCGTGGAGGTTGCCTCCGCCTTGGAAGAGATTAAAGCTAGAGGCCTTACACGAGGATTGAGGCCCGAAAAATGTAGGGATTCATTGGCAAAGAGGCCAGCGAGGTCCTTCGACGAGCTACTTCAGAGGTGCAGCAAATATGTGAATATGGAAGAATCCGAGGCGGACTTCATCCGAAATGACAAGACAAAGGCTAAGCAAGTAGATGAGAGGCCCCGACAGGGTGATCGACGAGCTGCCCCTAAGGAGGCTAGGGCCGAGGATCGGTTCAGGGGTCCGAGGTACGAGCACTACAAACTACTTAATGCACCACAGAAGGATTCTGGAAATGATGGAAAAGCGGGGGAGGATAAGCTGCTCGCACAACCAAAGCCTCTACCACCACCGCGGAAATTTTCTGCATCAAAAGATAGATATTGTCGATACCACCGCGATTACGGTCACTCTAACAATTTCTGCCGAGAGTTGAAGGACGAGATTGAGCGGCTCATTAGGGTTGGTCACTTAAAGGAGTTCGTGATCAAGGATAGAGAGCGTCAGGAAGATCGCCGGGAAGGGCGAGAGACGGGTAACAAGCGGAGGAGGACTGATGAGCAACCTGATAGACCAGTTAAGAAGGGCATAATACACATGATCGCGGGAGGTCCTACAGAATGAGATTCGCATAGAGAGAGGAAGAGGACCTATCAGGGAAAGGGTGTTGCCAATGAGGTGGTCGAGGTGCAGGTGTAGAGGAGCTCGGACACACTAAAATTTGGAGTTGACGATGTGCAGGGGCTTGTTGTCCCACATAATGACGCATTGGTCATCACTGCGGAGGTGGCCAGTTACGATGTGCAGCGGGTGCTCATAGACACGGGGAGCTCGACGGACATCATTTTCTTGAAGTGCTTGCAACAAATGGAGTTAGACGTGAAGGTCGAGTCGGTCTACACTGCTCTCTATGGCTTCAGTGGCAGTGAGTTTCTTCCTGTGGGCGAAGTTAGCTTGACGGTGGCGTTGGGAAGGTCACCTTGCGGAAGGTGAAGATGGTTCACTTCCTGGTCGTGGATGCTAGTTTGGCCTACAACATCATACTAGGGAGGCCTAGCTTGAATTCATTCCAGGCAGTCATTTCCACTTATTGCATGAAGATCAAGTTCCCTGTAGGGGATGAGGTTGGGGAAGTGACTGGAGATCAGCTGCAATCTCGGCGATGTTATGAGGTCACATTGAAGACGGTCGAGGCACAATATAAGAGGAAGAAGGATGACCTGCCTGAGTGCTCCCACCGGGAGAAGAAACAAGAGTTGGGGATGAGCTCCCAGGACGAACTGATGGAAGTTGAATTGATAAAAGGGAATCCAGAAAAGATAACAAATGTAAGTCGGCATTTGGCGGTCGACATACAGAGCGGGTTGATTGCATTGTTGAAGGAATTTGTGGATGTCTTTGCCTTTTCTCCCGACGACCTCACAGGAATCGATCCCGGGGTAGCAGAGCACAGGTTGAACATCGACCCAACCATGAGGCCGGTGAAGAAAAAGAGGAGGCACTTTGGGGCCGAGCTCAATTTTGTTATTGAAGCAGAGGTGGAGAAGTTGTTAAAGGCGGGGCATGTGCGACCCATTCATTTCCCGGAGTGGTTGTCCAATTCAGTCATGGTAAGGAAGGGAGAAGGAAAGTGGAGGATGTTCATAGACTTCAGGAACCTCAACAAAGTTTGTCCTTGTAGCGCCCCGTTCGTTTATTAGAATTTTGGGATTTGTGTGATTATCTATTTGCTTTATATTTGATTATTTTCCTTGTGTTATATTAGTTGTTCATTTATTATTTTTAACTGCTCGTTCTTATCTCGTCTCTTTTATCTGTTTATTTATTTAATTTTTATGTGGCATAATTTATGTGAATATTATGTGTTTATTTATTATTTATGGGTTAGAATTATTAGGATTTATTTGGATTAGAATTTATTTTATTCGACAATTTTCGGCTTAATCGCGTGAATCTGTTTTTATTTCTTTTTCGACCCATTTTCGATACTTTATAACTGGTACTTGGAGATTTAATTTTCAGCCTTTTAAGCTATCAAATACGGGCCTAGAGGAATGTATTTCCAGCCCAATTTGATTAATTTTACACTAGGCCCATCTTTGAATTTAACCAGCCCATATATGAGTTATTTTCCTTGGCCCGTTAGATTGATCAACGGGTAAATTATCTTCTTCAACCAACGACCGAGTCTTCCTCTCCCCCTTCAAATCCAGTTGCGATTTTTATGTGATGTTATCCCGCATGTTCTTAGCTCGCTCATATATATTATATCAACAGAGAAATTCTAGACCTCAGATTCATTCAAATTTCCTCTTTTTTGTTGCATCCTGTTCGTTTTTAAATAATAATAAAAAAATTGCGTATTGAGTTATGTGCGATTCTTCTTCGTCAAACTCCCCTATCCGAGAAACTTTGCCATCGACGACCACATCTCGTCAAGCAGGCAGCCTTCAATCCGTTTTGCCCATTCGACGTGAGAAACTGCAGCTTGCTCGCCGCCGGAATTCAGCCACAATCCTCCCCGGTTCGCGTCTCAGTCGCCGAAACATCCAACGGTAGCCCCGTACATTGCCAGAGCTCGTCACAGGAGGACGTCGCGAAGAACTTCTGTCCCATCGCAGCGACTGCTCGTGAACTGTGTCGTTTCGAAGGTTTCGAGCTTTCGAAGTTTCTGGTCTTTCCGTTCGTCTCGTCCGATTCTCCGACGAGCTCGTAGATTCTAGAAGCGAGGTATTCTATCGAACCTCCTTGTTATTCTAGTGATCAATGTCGATATTCGATATATCATGTTCGTCGTATTGAATCTCGTATATTGTTGGTTCATGTTCGGTTTCTTATTGTTTGTTGTCGTGGAATTAGTGAATTTCTCGTGGATAATCGGAACTCCCGTATTGCCTATTATTGTCTTGAGTTAACCGAGTCATGTGGCTGTAACTGAATTGTGTAAATTTGGGGTCCCATTTTGGTTGTTTCGAATTTTGTTGTTTCCTCCAAGTCTTGAGATTAGTCTTCCGTTTTCTGAGCTTAAACCAGTGTTTTGTGACCCGGACCGGCCCGGCGGGTCGACCCGGAGCCGGAACTGGTCCGGGTGGGCTAATTGGACCGGGCAACAACAGACCCGGTCAAGCCCGGTCAAACCCGACCGACCCGGCCTTGACCCGGTCGACCCGGGGCATTGACCCGGCTGGGTCAACCCGGTTGACCCGGTCCCTATATGTATTTTTTATTTTTTTTTTGTTTTTTAATTTTCTTTTTCTTTTTAAAAAATTTCTATGGTAAATATATACATATTATTACCACTTTGATCTACAAATTTTACATACAAAACATTTAAATTTGTTATTTTTATGTATATTTATATATCACAA